ACCTCTCTGGCTACTCCTTCTCTGTTTCCCTGGTCTTTGTCCACCACTTAAATTTGGCATTCCTTAAAACTCCAAATACTCAATTTCATCTACTGCCATGGTTTACATTACATCTGTTTTCAGAAAACTCCAAAATTGGCATCTCAAACTTAGTTGTGTCTCCTAAGTTACACTTACACTCACACGCAAACACACTGAAAACTACTGAACAGTTTTTATTTAGCTCCTCAAATCCAACATGTCCAAATCAAATAAAATTTCCCCTAAAATCTGTTTCTCCTCCTGAGTTACCAGAACCAGAACACAGAAGTCATCTTGATTTTTCATTCCCCTTCATTTTCCACATCTAAACAATCACTAGTTCTATCAGTTCTAGCTCTTACAATTCTTTGGAATCCATCTATTTCCTTCAATCCCATTGCCACCATCTTCTCATATCTAGAGTATAGTACAAAGCCTACTCCACTCTTAACCTCTTCCTATCCATCAAAAACAATGAAAAAAAAAAAGCAGTAGCCAGAAAACTAAAATCAAATATATGACTATGTCATTTTCTTGCCTGAACTCTCTCAGAAGTTTCCCCAATGGCCTTAAGTTAAAGCCCCAAATCCTTAACATGGCTTACAAGGTCCTGCTCCACAATATGGCCACTATCAACCTCTCTTGCCTCATCTCAAAGCTCTCTCCTTCTCACACTTCTCTGTTCACTCATTTACTCAACAGGTATTTACTGCATGCCTATGATGCCCCACACACTGTGCTAACCGATGGTGATACAATGATGAAGAAGACAGACATGGTCAATACCATAACGACCTTCTTTCAAGTTCCTCAAATGCACCACTTTCTAAAATCTAAGGTACTCCAAATGCTGCTTCCTCTGCTCAGAATTAAATCTGCAAAACACCTTGCCTGGCTAACTCCTCTTTAATCTTCAAATCTTAGATTTAATGTCATCTTCTTCTTTTTTTTTTTCTGACTGGTAAGGGGATCACAACCCTCGGCACGGTGTGGTCCACACCACGCTCAGCCAGTGAGCACACCGGCCATCCATCCCTATATAGGATCCGAACCCGCTCCCGAGTGAGCCACGGGGCTGGCCCTAATGTCATTTTCTGAGGAAGAAAAGTCTTCCCTCTTCCTTAAGACTTGGTCAAACACTTAGCTATAGTACCCTTATTTTCCTTTTTATAATTATTAATACACAAAATTATTTTTTGTATTTGTTTTTCCTGCTAGACATTATAATCTCCACGAGCACAGAGACCACAGCTATCTTGTGTTCTTGACTTGTGATACTGACTTTGCAAGTACCTTTTCTTCCACAGAAGAAAATATTTGTATTTTCAGAATATTACCTTTCTTGAGTGGTTTGTTGTACCATCTATCTTTTTTGATATCTGGGATAGTAATCCTTACTGATGGATTCTCAACTAGGATTTTATGCAGCAGAGCTGAAAACAAAACATTAAGACAACATTTACAAAAGGGTCATGCAGAATAGAAAAGCCTATGGCTTATGGTAGGGAACACATTCTCTATTGGCCTCCTTATGTCTAAATATTATTTCTGTGGAAGGGAAAGAATAAAGATACTAAATCGTTGCTTTAATTTCATGCAGTTATTCTTTGCTATTGTCTGTATTTTAGAATAGTTTCCAGACCTGATTCTCAATTGGTTACAAATAAGGAGAACTAGAGCCAGGTGGAAATGTTTCTCTTCGTTAAGAAAAAGATACAAAAATCCTGTTAGCCATTTTTAATACTAAATTTCATGACTCCAACACATCATGTTCTCATGTGACCTCCTAATTCACAGTCCTATAGGGAAATTTACTTACCAATAACTTTTTATGGGATTAATATACCCATAATCCTAAAATATCTTAATTATCTTGATAAAGAATCCATACATCTCCCAACACCAAAATTACTTTCTAATGAACCAAAGATTTAAATATAAAAATGAAGCCTTTAAAACACTAAATGAAAACATTGGAAACTTTTTTCAATAAAATATTAGGGTTAGAAAAGACTTTTCCAAACATGACAATATAGTCAGAAAACACAAAGGACAAATTAAAGGTTTGAAAAATATAAAACTTCTACATGTCAAAATAGAATAAGCAACAAAAAATGACAAATTGCAAAAAATATTTGTAACAAATATTAATGTGACAGTAATGTGTTTAAACAAAAACCACAAATCTCAAAGTGATAAGAAAAACAATAAATCTCCTTGACAAAAAAAGAGCAAAATAGACAAAAAGCTAATAAATACATAAAGGGTATATACCTTCATTAGTATTAAATTTAAAATAAAAATAAAAAACAGTATCATTTATAAGCCTATTAGATTAAAATTTTTTTAAAAAATGTAAACTCATGAGACTAGCATGAAATGGTACAAACTTTCTGGAAAAACAAGCCATAATAATTAAAAAACTACATACATCTTTGATCATACAATTTCACTTCTGGGGGTTTATTTTAGGTAAATAATTTAAGGGTATGTGCAAAGATGAAGTTACATGGACACTTGTCATATCTCCTTTATAACTGAAAATTTGGAAAAAATCTAAATAAATCTCCAACATAGTGAATTGGATGAGTATAGTAAGGCATATATGAATAGCAGAATACCATTACAGTCTTTAAAAACAATGATATGCCCTACTATTCACAGAGCATTGAAGCCAAAAAACAGGTTATGAAATAGTATGTACAGTATGATCTCACTTTTTGTAAAAACACTCATTTTTTGTAAATACTTATAATAACTTACATATATAACACAGATAAATTCATTACACAGTTGACCCTTGAACAACATGAGTTTAAACTGTACAGGTCCACTTATACGAGACTTTTTTGCAATAAATACAAGTACAGCCAGCCCTCCTTGTTCTTGGGCTCCACATCCACAGATTCAACTAACCATAGATAAAAATAAGCAGGATGTGGGGCTGACTGGTTAGCACAAGAGTGTCACCTTGTAACGCCAAGGTCAAGGGTTTAGATACCCCCCCATGGAGGGTTGGGGGAGATATAGAGGGGACCAACTTTTCACATCCAGGGATTTCATAAGGCGAACTGCAAGACTTGAGCATCTGTGGATTTTGGTATTCTTGGGGATTCCTGGAATCAATCCCCCATGGATATTGAGGGGCAATAATATATATTTACAACAAAGTGTAGAAACACATAACAGAATATTTTTTAAAAGCTATTTCTGAGTCCTGGGATTAAAGTGTTGCTTTTTCCTTAATTTTTAACTTGTATTTATCTACAAGGATCATAGGTTATTTCTGCGATTACTTGAAATTAAAAAACAAATTCAAATAGCACAAGACTTCATTATCCAAGAAATCAATACTTTCAATCAGGATAACCCAGTTACCTAGAGGAGCAGAATCGATTTTTTTCCAAGGGTTGAGGTATGTTTTTTTTTCTTTCCAATCAGAATATTCCTGACAACTGTCACTGGGCTGGTCCCATGGCAATTCTAAAATAGAAACATGTCCCAGTTTTCTGAGAGTTTATATCATTATACAGAAAAACTTCAAGGGAAAATAATCAATAATATAAATCTATGAAAAGTTTCCTCCAAATTAATTCAGTGTGGTTTTCAAACTAAGTAACTTTAGAGGCACTTCAAAGATAGATGAACCACTTCTTGACCTACTCTTTTCAAAAATGTTTACATGAATCTTCAAAGAGCTAGCTGTGGTGACTTTTCATTTCATAACTATACAAACCTTATTCTAAAAAGCCATTGGGGTTAAAACTTCCAAGTTAGTTATAAATAAGTTACTCTTTGCAATGGACTAAATGTTTGTGTCCCCACCATAAATTCATATGTTGAAATCCTAACCCACAATGAGATGGTATTTAGAGGTGGGGCCTTTGCAAGGTGATTAGGTAATGAGGGTTAGAGCCCTTGTGAATGGGATCAGTGCCATTATAAAAGGACACAAGAGAGCTTGCTTCTGGTGTCCCTGCTCTCCACCACATGAGGACACAGCAAGATGGCCAGAACCAGGAAGAGGGTCCTCACTAGAACACAACCATGCTGGCACCCTGATCTCAGATTTCCAGCCTCCAGAACTGTGTGAAATAAATTTCTGTTGTTCATAAGCTACCCAGTCTATGGTTTTGTTATAGCAGCCCAAATTATTAAAATACTATTATATAAATATGGATTCCCTTGGTTTATTTCATTTATTTTGGTGTAACAAATCTGACTTTTCACAGGACAGGAGTTTTATCATGATAAAATAGCTCTTACCTCCAGCCAACATTGCAGTAAGTACTATTCCACAGGACCAAACATCAACTGGTTCCGCATGAAATTCTTTTCTCTTCAGAAGTTCTGGAGCAACATAAGGTAAAGTACCACACATCTTGTTCAATAAACGCTCACGATTATTATGCCGAAACACTGTGGCCAAGCCAAAGTCAGAGATTTTGAGGTTATCTAAACCAAAAGAAAAAAGGATAACAGTGGATAAAAATTTTTTGCAAGTAGATATTCTTAAAGAAATTAAGTTTTATTGGAAAAAATCACTGGTGTTTCTTAAGGTTTGCAGAACTCTCTACTTGAAAATGACCAAAATAAACCAAAACAAATTTTGAAAAAGAAAAAAATAAAAGACATCATTTATGCTAAAACTAGAAAAAGCCCCATCTCTTCCATTAGTTTAAGAGAAATATCAACACACAAGAGTTTCGACCAGGTTAAAGAAAGATGCTAGAGTCAAAAGGGACTGTCCTTCTGGAAAAGAGTACTCCAAACTTGGGCAGAAAGCAGAGCAAAGCCCTTGCCAGTGGAGGGCAAGGAGACATCAGTAACATACTAGGCACAACTTTCTCAGCAGCAAACAAACCCAGTTGGCAGGAAGAAAATATGTAAAGACACATCAAACTGAGATCCACAAACCACAAGAACTTCTTGTCAAATTGGCTAAGTTGAGAAAAGGACGAAGAACTCTGTACAAAAAAACAAACCAGAAGATCAAACTTCCACTGTAACTTCCCATCTTCACCACACACAAACTGCAGACAGGACTTTCAACCTAACTTATACACAGTGAATATCTACTATAACCAAGTGACAGGCACTAGTGCTAGCCTAT